CCTGCGCTGCCGGCCGCCGGCGAGCAGGACTGCTGCGGGGAGCGCGTGGTCATCAACATCTCGGGGCTGCGCTTTGAGACGCAGCTCAAGACCCTCTGCCAGTTCCCGGAGACGCTGCTGGGCGACCCCAAGCGGCGCATGAGGTACTTCGACCCGCTCCGCAACGAGTACTTCTTCGACCGCAACCGGCCCAGCTTCGACGCCATCCTCTACTACTATCAGTCCGGGGGCCGCATCCGCCGACCGGTCAACGTGCCCATCGACATCTTCTCCGAGGAGATCCGTTTCTACCAGCTGGGCGAGGAGGCCATGGAGAAGTTCCGTGAGGACGAGGGCTTCCTGCGGGAGGAGGAAAGGCCCCTGCCCCTCCGGGATTTCCAGCGCCAGGTGTGGCTGCTCTTCGAGTACCCGGAGAGCTCCGGGCCGGCCCGGGGCATCGCGATCGTGTCCGTGCTCGTCATCCTCATCTCCATTGTCATCTTCTGCCTGGAGACGCTGCCTGAGTTCCGCGATGAGAAGTACTACCCTGCCTCGCCGTCGCAGGAGCTGTTCGAGGCGGCCAGCAACAACACGTCGGGGGCACCCGCGGGAGCCTCCAGCTTCTCGGATCCCTTCTTCGTGGTGGAGACCCTGTGCATCATCTGGTTCTCCTTTGAGCTGCTGGTGCGGTTCTTTGCTTGCCCCAGCAAAGCCACCTTTTCGCGAAATATCATGAACCTGATAGACATCGTGGCCATCATCCCTTACTTCATCACTCTGGGCACTGAGCTGGCTGAACGACAGGGCAATGGTCAGCAAGCCATGTCCCTGGCTATCCTGAGGGTCATCCGCCTGGTAAGGGTCTTCCGCATCTTCAAGCTCTCCCGCCACTCCAAGGGGCTGCAGATCCTGGGGCAGACGCTGAAGGCTTCCATGCGGGAGTTGGGACTGCTCATCTTTTTCCTCTTTATTGGGGTCATCCTCTTCTCCAGCGCAGTCTACTTTGCCGAGGCAGACGACCCCACTTCAGGTTTTAGCAGTATTCCAGATGCCTTCTGGTGGGCCGTGGTAACCATGACAACAGTGGGTTACGGCGACATGCATCCAGTGACCATAGGGGGCAAGATTGTGGGGTCGCTCTGTGCCATCGCTGGTGTCTTGACCATTGCTCTGCCAGTCCCTGTGATTGTTTCCAACTTCAATTACTTCTACCACCGGGAGACAGAAGGGGAAGAGCAAGCCCAGTACATGCACGTGGGAAGTTGCCAGCACCTCTCGTCTTCAGCCGAGGAGCTCCGGAAAGCGAGGAGTAACTCGACTCTGAGTAAGTCGGAGTATATGGTGATCGAAGAGGGAGGTATGAACCATAGCGCTTTCCCCCAGACCCCTTTCAAAACGGGCAATTCCACGGCCACCTGCACCACGAACAATAATCCCAACTCCTGTGTCAACATCAAAAAGATATTTACTGATGTTTAATACATAAAACAAGTGACATGCTGTGCTCAGTATTGTGTGGAACGTGCCCCCTTGGTCTGTGTATGCCCTTGTTTTATACATTTCCAGACCATTCATCAATGAAAGGACATGAAGAAGTGGAAAGCACACTTCATTCTCCCTCTCCCTACTGCTTCATACTGAAACAGGTGTCTGTTTTGCAAGTGGGCTGCATTCTCTCAGCTCTCTTATTTTTTCCCCTCTCCCTCTCAATATTTCCGACAACAAACTTACTTTAAACTTGATTTTTAGTACAAGCTCTAGTAAAAAAAAACTAAAAAAACCCTGTACATCCCGGGAGGAAATGAAACTAAAGAACAGTTAAGAGTAACTGTTTAACCTCAGAATCGAAAAGCAGTTGTTTGTTTACTAAGTAAAGCAGGCACATACTTAAACGATGCTTCAGTTTGATGGACCCTTCAACATTATTGAATATTTAGTTCAGTTGCCTACACTGTGGATATGTGGATGAAAAGTCTAATTAGAACAATGAGTTGTAAACCCACCATAAGTTTATTTGGTTTTCAACTGGAATTTCCATTTGCAACACCCCCTCCTGAAAATTTAAGGATCTCTACGATTTTGAACAAAGGGAAGTGCCCAAGATGCTCTGATCTGACTCATTAATTTAACTCTTTGGGACTTGTTAAGCATTTCGAAAGTATTAGACTAACAGATTCCTGTGAAATTCTGTGTGCACTCCAGCTAACATCTATCAAAGTCTAGAAACAGATGTTTTCAGTGCTGCTGAGAGAAACAAAAAAATTTCCTAATGCGTCTGAGAGATAATCTTCTGCAGTATCACAAGAAGATTAAAGTGGCAGACACTCCTTCCAGCGGAAGTTACTAATTCGGACCTGACTGATGCAGTTCCCATAGCAACCCATGTTTCCCGGGAAACCCGAAAAAGGTTGTCATGGCATCTCTCGCTCTCTAGCCCCACCCCCTAGCCCCTGCCGTTTCCACAGTAACCTTTCCAGATGGTTCCTACTTACAGGATTTCACAAGGAAAACCACTGTTTGAATAAACCGCACAAATAAAGTTAAGTCTGAGACTCCAAGGTGGTGAAATGAATCACAAAATGCATATTTTTACTGCCAGAAAGTCACTGATGTCATTCCATAATGACTGAATCAAAAAGGAAAATATCGTCATTGAAATGTTAAACATACACCACAATAAGCCGTGATTTGAATTAAATGCCAGTAATTGGGCAATCATTTTAAAAGATGCTTCTCTACTGTTTTCTTTCCCCAAGAAGTTTCAAGCCAACAAATGAAATTTAAAAACAAATGTAAAAGTGTTCTGCACATAAACAAATGAAAGATTCAATCAGTATACCTGAAATCTTACCACAAGGGACCTTCAGATATCCTCTTTAAAAAAAAACCAATTCAGATTCCACAACAACACTGTCAGCATCACAGCGCTTGAAAAACTAAATATACTTGAAAAATACAAAGGATGCACACTTTTAACTGAAGGAATTGCAGACAAGCAATAAAAAAGAGGGACAAGAAGTAACCAAACCTTGGGGAAATACCTGCAAGTTTCATCCATATGCCAGGGGTTGCCAGAAGACAGACAGAATCAGGTGAGCACTGTGTGGGCAGCTGAGAGCCCTCCCTTTTTGTACAGAGAACCGGGGAATGCCATTCGCATCTAGATTTGTGATAACTTGCAAAATCAATAGTTTCATATTCATTACATAGGCGCCTTTTAAAAATCATTTATAACACCTTTTCTGTTTGATGTTCATGTTGCTAACTATTCTTTGGTCCCTTTCCCGTTTTTGTTTTTTTGGTAAAAGAATGAAGAAAAAATTCATTTCTCTTCACAATAACCTTCACCCAAACTGAGCTGAAGATGATTCCATTCCTTTTACTTGGCTTCTGAACAACCTGTTTGCCTTGGGAAAAAAAAAAAAAGATAAAAGGCAGAACTGCTGTGAGCTTATTGGTCCAGTTTTTATTTAGACAATTATTTAGTGGTATGCAGTAGTACAGTTCTTTGAAATAAAGATTGTTAAAATTGCAATAAGGGTACCATTTTATTTTAACACAATCATTTTATTTTATATACATTATATAAGTTATACATTACACATTATCCATAATTCCTTTTTGGTTTGATGGGTATAACTACTGTATCCCAGAGTAAATGAGAGTAATCCTATTTTTAAAGCTCATAAAATATTTTCAAGTAGTCAGAAGCCTACTTACTTTATTATTTGTGCACTTGAGAAATGAAAAGTAGTGATTAAGACCAAAAGAGGGGGAAGAAGAAGGAAAAGACAAAAAAAAAATTGAGTCAGGAGATCTGTGTACCTGGTCATAGAGTCATTGTTCTTATATACGTGCTTCAAAATAGAACTGCTTTATCTAGTTCCCTTTGCTAGTTGTTCCCTTTGCTAGTTGTTTGAGTTACCTTTAACATTGATCCACCTTGTGACCAAACTTTTGGTATTTTTCATGACCAGAAATTCTTTTTATAACACATTTGGTGGCAATATGGTAGACACACTATAGTAATTATGTAAGAATATTTTTGTATCTCTTCTTAAAAGATCTTAACATAAAGATGAACAAAGTGCAGTGACAATTTTATTCACATTTATTCAGAAGATGTAGAAACTCTGATTAGTTCTGTAAGTAAATTATGGTTGTGCCATAATTTTTGGAATCATGTGGTTTTTTAAATAGCAGTAATAAAAATTTTTTTTAATCCAGAAAAATATGGCTTTTGAGTCATAACTTTGAGGTAGCATTGTTGCTGCTAGTCGCCATATTGTAAGCTCCTTGAAGGTTACAGGATCTGCACAGGTCTTGGCAAAGTTTTGGATTGTCATGTCCAGCACTGAACGTAGCACCTTGTTTGTATTCAGTTCATAATTGATGAGTGAATGGCTGTTACCTTACATTCATGTTATTTTGAGGCTTTTAATGAAGTGGTTTAAAGCATAAGTTCTACAGTCATATTTTCAGGGTTTGAATCCTGACTCGACTGCATGACCTTGAGCAAATTACCTAATCACTCTGTGCCTCAGTTTCCTTATTTGTAAAATGAGGATAATAAATAATACCTCATAGGGTTGTTGTGAATATGAAATGTTAATGCAGGTATATTACATCAGAGATTTTGCCAAGAGATTATTATTGTGATCATTACACATAGGTGTTGTATAATTAATATCAAGCTTTATGAATGATATGAAATACATAAATAATCTGTGTCTTCCTATTGACTTTCTATAATATCAATAATAATTACGATTTATTAAGGATCAACTACGTCCAGGACACTTCTCAACTCTGCAAGGTAAGTGGTATTAACCCTGTCTTAGGAGGGTAAAAAGTAGATGGTTAATGCTAAGTGATTTCCCTAAGACTTCACAGCTAGGAGAGACCCAGCATGATTTAAAGTAGATCATTTTGGCCCCCAAAACCGTGTTCCTTTTATTGAGTAACTTGAAAGAGATTGAGAAAATAAATTTCTTATACTTACAGGTTTGCCTTCAGCCCATGTTACTAAATAATGAATTCATGTAAAGATCATATCTCCAGAAACCTAATCCATTCAGTGTACTGAAAATTAACCCTTTTCCTAACCATCAGCTATTTTTAACCAGAGGGACCAAATATATTGTTTAAATCAGATGAAGAGATGGACTCTTCTAGTAATAAAAGATTATTTTCTAACATAATTGATTTATCTGGATTTAATATTATAGTACCCAGAGAGTATAATGATAGTAGTGATACCTGCTAAAACAATGGATGTTTTTCAGTTTTAAGATTAAATTTCCTATTTTCCTGTGTTTTAATCTACAACAGATGATAGTATTATGCAGATTGTTGTTTTTCCATCTTCTTATAATTTGTTTAGGTTACTGAAGAGCCATGCCAGAAAGTAGTGTAAACATTTTGACTCTCCCTTATTAAGAAAGAGGAAATTACTTAGAACAAAAGCATTGAAAGCAGATGAAGACTGCCATTTCATTGAAATTTGTGGTGGTATTGCCTTACCTAACCACTCCATGAGTCTTTAAGAGCCTCCTTGCTTAAAAAAACATTAGAATATAATTGTGTCCCACATAATAGTTGTAGCCTTTTCCCTAAGGTCCTAAGGCATTTAAAAAATGAAAATGGATAGTGAATTGGGCTTAGAGCAGGATGTTAATGAGTCCAGGTTTACACATGCCAATTAGCTTTGCCAAACCGCAGACTTCACTGAGCTCAACTGTGTGTCTTGGATGTTGAAAGGTATACATATGTCTGTGTATACGAGGGATTCATAGGAGGAGGTGTGACTGGATCAGGGCATATCCTTCAACACCCTGGGAAAAGTGTATACACCCTACAGCTGGCGAATCCAAAAATCAAGACAACAACATTGTTATCGTTTCATTTCTTGTATGGTGTTTTAAACTGATATTATAACAAATTTAACTACCCACCAACTAAAGGGACATAATCACAAATGGCTACATATAAGAGGCGTGTTGTATCAGTTATTTCTAAATTTTGAAATAAAATTTCAGAATTGAAATTTTAAATGTACAGTATGAAGACATTTAAAGTTGTGCTTCATTTACATGAAACTTGTTGTTTCCTTGGAGTATAACATGCTCAAGTCATTGCTTTGCTGATAGTATATAAATCCAATGTATAAAGTACCCACCAATAGTCTATTCCTTTGAGAGCCATAACTATAATGTACTGGCTTCTATGCATTTAAAATGTCAACATTTTCTACAGCAGTTCCAAGTTCTTCCCACCTCTCAGCTGTGAATAGAAGTGATAGCCTTTCCCACTAAGAAATGCAAAGCAACACAGGTGCCCCCCAGTCTGAAGACTTAGGGAAGCGCTGTGAGATAGAGGTGAGGAGCGTAAGAGTGGGGAAGGGGATATTTAGGGATTACATTTTCAGGTGGGTTTTTTCCCTTCCTGTTTTGTATTTGGCCTTTTAAACTAAGGAGGATAAAAGGCTATTGCTTTTGTACTACTAATTTCCTGCATTTTGTTTAGCAGTTTTATGTATTTTAATGAAATCACTTGTGTTTTTATAACCTGCTGGGAGTGGTTGATCATCTTTGAGAGAAGGCCAGTCAGAGGAGGCAAGAGGAAGGGAGGGAAAGCCATGCAGAACCCAAACCTTACCACTGTGTCCCAGCCCCTAACCTCCTGCCAAGAAATAGCCATTGCCATAGAGTATATGTGATAACAATATTTTTTGATACTCATGCTCACCTTGCAAATATAATTTAAGTGATTTAGACAGGTTGGAAAGTTTTCAAATATTTGTCTTTGTTTTCAGCAATGCTATGAACTAATTTTGTCTTCGAAATTGTAAAGAAAAAACATTTTACAAAGAAACAGTTTCATGGTTTTTCTCCTTTTTGAGCTGGATGAGTTTTTCCTTACCTTTCAGATTTTGCACCATTAACTAGCAAATGCATTAAAGAAGAGGCCTGGAAAAGAGGCTCCATCATTTTCTTGGGAGCCCCTTTATTATTGTTGCAACCTAAATAGTGCAGAATAGGAACTCTTGCCTGAAAAGTAAATCCCAGGATTCTGATAGTTAGTAAGGTAGCAGTTAAGTGAACAAAAAAAAAAGTCATGTTTTAGTTTATCTAAACGATGTTAGGAATAAATCTGTGCATGCAGAGCTCTGACTTTGCAGATACAGGGATCTTACCCTCCAGTGTGGTGATAGGGAATGGAGTGAAGCTTTTTCTCCTCCAGGAGCCCCGACCCTCACCCTCACCCTTCCCTTGGGAGCACAAAGTCTCTGGGGAATCTCTATGGAGATCCCCACCAACTCTTCTGAATGAAAGTCAGCATTGTACCTATGTGTTATATGTCAATCAGCACTCCTATTTCACTTGTTTTTCATTGAGTTTATATTAAACTCCTGTTCTTTAAGAATCCTAAGATTCTTAGTTTTATACATTTAATGTGTTCCTTAAATTAAAGCATTTAATTGAATTTGGAATAGAAGCCATTGGGGGTTATTTATTACACACACACACTTCATCTGTTGATAAGTTATTCCTTATCCTAAGATTTATTTACTTTTTGTCTGTAGATCTAAACAGTCTTAATTGTTTTTCTGAAAATCAGTGAATTTCCAAAATATTGATTCTCATTCATATGTGCAGCATAAACATTTACAAATCATTTTTATTTTTTAAAACCTTGCTTAAGAGGCAGGTTTATTGCCTAGTATTCTCAATGTACCTATTTATGTAGTAATAGAGTCATAAAAGTAGTGAATACATTCAGTCTATCACTGAGTTTTGTCATTTCGCTTCCTAAATATCTCTGAAAAGAATTGACTTTTCTACATCGCTGCCACCGCCACTTTAGTCCACACTGCTGTCACCTCTATCCTGAATCGGAATGAAGTTCTCTTAACTGGCTTCCCCACATTTCCTGTGGCCAGTCTGACCCATTCTCCACCTGGTAGCCAGGACGATCTTCTTGAGACTCAGATCTGATTCTGTCACCTCCCTTTGCTTAAAATTCTTTCAAGGTCTTTTTTCTTGTTCTTAAGATAGAGACGCGAAGGCTTAACATAGCCCTCATGGCCCCA